CCCCCCCCCCCCCCGCTTTGCAATGGCGCCGACCACACACTGCACCTCAATTCATGCTATAATATAATAATAGCATGTTTTACACCACAGATGACAATGGTCCGTGCACGAATCCATACAATCGACAGACACTTCGCTCGCGAATCGCGATTATATTTTGTGTGCGTATATAGAGAAAGTATCAAAATATGAGTTTCCTGTTTTTTAATTCACGAAATAGGAGTTACAATGCTAATAATATCAATATATAATATCAAAAAGCACAACGAGATGCTAGTACACAATATTATAAAGTCACAATGCAAACTTTTATTTTGGGATAAAAAACATATATAAAACTCCTATTTGACCCGTGGTGTTAACCATCCTTAGTTACCCATGCAGCAATATAATGTTCTTGTCTATGAAATGATTAACAGAAACAGCAACAAATTTGTTCTAAAAAATATCGAGAATGGTTGCCTAGTAAAATAAGGGGACGTAATGTGTGAACAAAGCAAAGGAATCCCCCAACATAGGCTGAATAGTAAACCTGCGGCTGTTTACACAATTTTGAACCTCTATGGTTCCACAGAGATGCCACCAGAAGCAAAATAAATGCAAGGGGTAAACTTATGAACCTGCATGTCCACATATATAAACACATGATCAAACATAAGTCACACTTTAACTTTCATAGTCTTTGATATAATGCTTTATTGGAAAAAATTATTTTAAAAAAACAAACTCAAATTAAAGGGGGGCCCCTTATTTTAGGGATCCCTACGACGTTGCATGGATCTGACTGGTCCAGGGCCACATGTTTGTCTTGGTGAAATTCTTGAGTAATTTGAGTTTGTGATCCACCCTTACACAGAGCTTTCATTCTTGTAGAAGTTTGTACCAGTACAGAAGTGTGTTCTTCACTTGATAGAGGTTAGGGCTTAATGAAACTGTTCCTTGAGCGTTTAGGACATGAGATTCTTGTTGTTGTTATTATTAGAAATATTTGGGAGAATAGAAAATAAAAGAGTATTAATATTATTTGCTTTTCTATTCTATTGTTATCATAACTATTTTTGCTATTCTAATTCCAAATCCCTATATTTAGGATTGAAATCTTCATTATTCAATAAAACAAATTGTTATCAAATCTGTAAATACCTTATATTAAAATAGGAATGGAAAGAGTTCAAAAGGATTGATAGTACTACTCATACCAACAAGGTACATCTTCTTTTTGAGAACTCATTACATGGAAACTCCAAAGTTAAGTGTGCTTGACTTGGAGCAATTTTAAGATGGGTGACCCTCAGGGAAGTTCCTTGGCGCGTACGAGTGAGGACAAAGTGTGCTGGAAAGACTTGTGTTGGTTTGTGGGGCAGTCTACAATCCAATGAGCGGACACTTACGGCTAGAGTGGGAGCCGGGGTGTTACAAAATCGTATTATGGTATCAGAGAAAGGGTTTCTCCCTATCTAAAAAGTAGTGTGTGCTTAGCAGCCGCAACCAATCCAACCGAGTGTGCCTAAAAGTCGCGTCCTTTATCCTTCTCTTTCCTTCTAAAAAATCATGTGTATGCCTAACCGCCATCGTCTGATCCTTTATCCCTCTCTCTTTCTATCCAAAAAATTATAGGGTTTGTGGAGGCTAGATACCTTTCGGCCCGACTTCGGTCGACCCATCTTATTATTAGCCCGTCTTTGTTTCTAGGGGAACAAGTTTCGTAATCCTAAGTTTTTCCTATATATACGCATCTTGTACTTATAACTTAGGGACACGACAAATGAATAAAATCCTTCCGTTGCAGCCGCAGATTAGGGAAACCGAACAACGTTAAATTCCTGTGTGCCGTTTGTGTTTTATTCTCTTTTGATTCTTGCAAATATATATTTGTGTGCATTGTGTGTTTAATTCCCAACAATTGGTATCGTAGCAAGCTTGTTCAACACGAGAGCACAAATTGCAAGAAAAAGTTGTCATCATGCCTTCAACGATGAGTCTATGCGTGCAACTAAAGGGGGTCTAGCCGCTGATTCAAATAGGGTAGAGCTGCAGGAAGCCGCGTTGAGGAAGGTTGTGGGTGTGTTTGAAATGAGGATTGAGATATGAATTGAGAGGAACTAGAGAATGAAAAATTCTTTAAATTTAAGAGATTATGTTCATATGTATATACATGGAGATATTAATATGAAAAGGAGAAAGGAAAAACATATTACAACTAATCCAACTGATTAACAAACTAACTAACTGAAAAACTAACTGATTCCAACACCCCCCCCCCCCCCCCTCAAGTTGGAGGGTGACTGAACCCCCAACTTGCCAAGATGCTTGTGATGAAGTGCACTAGGAAGACTCTTGGTAAATAGATCAGCCATCTGTTCTGAGGTTGGGAGATGAGTAAGAGTGATCAAGCCGTCTTGAAGTTTCTTGCCAACAAAGTGGCAGTCCAACTAGATATGCTTTGTGCGCTCATGATATACTAGATTTGTAGCAATGTAGATGGCTGCTTTGCTGTCAAAACAGACAGGAATAGGAGTAATATTGGGAATGAAGAAATCAGTACAAAGTCGAGACAACCATGCTAATTCAGCTGTAACTCTGTGAATAGAGAGATATTCAACTTATGCTAAACTTAAGGAGACAGTAGGATGCTTTTTAGATTTCCATGAGATAGGGTTTCCACCTAAAAAGATAAAATACCCACTGACAGGTCTCCTTGTGTTCGGACAGGCGGCCCAATCAGAGTCGCAGTAAGCTTCGAGGTTGAAAATGGGAGTATTTGTGAAACAAATAGCCTATGAAGAGGTGGAGTTAAGGTATCGAAGAGTATGTTGAGCTGCCTCCTAGTGAAGAAGACGAGGAGCTTGCATGAACTGGCTAAGAAATTGCACAGCATAAGCAATGTCTGGACGTGTGTGAGTGAGGAAATTCAATTTACCAACAAGGCACATGTAAAGGGTTGGGTCAGAGAGGGGAGGTCCAGTGTCATCCCTGAGTTGAAGGTTAGCTTCTAGAGGGCAAGTGGCACGTGCAGACAGTGGACACTTGAAGGTTTTGAGAAGATCCAAAGTAAACTTTCTTTGAGTGAGAATAAGACCTTTGTCTTGAGGAATAGCTTCCAATCCAAGAAAGTAGCCTAGAGTTCCCAAATCCTTGATTTTGAAAGTATCATGAAGATGTTCCTTTAGGGCTGTAATTTCTGTGTGATTATTCCCTGTGATGAGGATATCATCCACATATACAACTAAATGAATGATAGTGGTGCCAAGCTGTTTTGTGAAGAGGGAGTAATCGTTTTTAGAGGAAACACAACCCCTGAGTCTGAGAACTAAACACAACTTGGCATACCATTGTCTAGAGGCTTGTTTAAGTCCATATAAGGACTTTTTGAGCTTAAGGACTTTTGGAGTAGGCATGAGCATTCCAGGAGGAGGTTTCATATAGATTTCTTCATTCAAATCTCTATGTAGGAAGGCGTTATTGACGTCGAGTTGGAAAACTTTCCAAAAATTGATTTTTAACAGCAAGAGACAATAGAACTCTGACAGTTGTCATTTTGACTACAGGAGAGAATTTTTCATGGTAATCGATACCAGCTTTCTGAGTACTGTAACACCCCGGCCCCCACCCTAGCCGTAAGCGTCCGCTCATAGGATTGTAGACTGTCCCCACAAACCAACACAAGTCTTTGCCACACACTTTGTCCTCACTCGTGCGCGCCCAAGAAAACTTCCTAGGGGGTCACCCATCCTAGAATTGCTCCAAGTCAAGCACGCTTAACTTTGGAGTTTCTAGGTGATGAGCTCTTGAAAAGAAGATGTACCTTTTTGGTATGAGTAGTACTATCAATCCTTTTGAGCTCTTCCCATTCCCATATTAATACGGGGTATTACAAGTACATCCTCTGGTGACTAGTCTGGCTTTGTGTCTTTCCAAGGTACCATCTGACTTGAATTTTAACTTATAGACCCATTTGCTACTGATTGGCCTTTTTTCCTTTCGGTAGGTCACAAATCTCCCATGTACCAGTATCCTCCAAAGCCTTGAATTCTGTGTCCATGGCTTGTTGCCATGCTGGATCAGATCTAGCCTCCTCATAACTCCTAGGTTCTTGCATATATGAAACATTGTGCAGAAAATGTTGACTAGTTTGGGTTAGTGCACTGAAACATATGTGAGTTGTTGAAGGAAAAGAGGTGTGTGTATGAGGACAAATATTGGAGATAGGATCAGAAGAAGAGGAGGAGAAGGTGGATGTAGAGTTAAGAGGAAAGGGAGCTAAGATTGAAGATTGGCAAACATAATCCTAAAGATGAGAAGGGGAATTGTGAGATCTGGTGGATTTTCAAATTGGTACTATACTCTCACACGCCCCAAAACCGTAAGGGAAGGCGAAGATAATATATAGAATAGGATAACCATGTTAGAGTGTACTTAACATTCTCAACCATGGCTTCGTCCTCGAGAATAGTAAACAATGTAAGATTAGAATTTTTTCTTCAAGCTCTTTCCTCTTTCTCTTTCTGCACGCGCTAAGACTCTAAGTCTAAATAAAACATCTAAAATAATTCTAGGTAAATATATTTGTTTGTCAAAAAATAATGTCAACACAATATGGAACTAATAGTCTTTTATTCCTCCTGCTTTGTCTAACTCACGGCTCTTCGCAGATTCGACCCTACTCTCGGCCCAAGTGCCTCAAGTCCTTCTTCTATGTGCCCTTCTACACGACTAGCTTCTTCCGTTGTCGTATCAAGTAACTATGAGTCTTTTTTTGGACGGGAGAATATACAACAAGCATGTCATGCACAATAGTTAAAAATCCATCAAAGATAGAAGAAAACATACCATAACCAACCAATAAGTAGTTCCACTCCCTTGCGATTCTTGCTTTGTTCTTCCCGGCTTGAACAACAAGAAAAAAGCCATAACTTGATCGAGGTGAAGGAGCGGCGTGGACCATAGCACCAAGCAAGAAATGGTAAGAGCAAGACCACAATGACAGCAATAATGGAGAATGCAACCCACAGCAAGACAGCGGCCACAGCGTTAGAGCAATCAGACCCATTCCTCTATTCATTCACACGAAAAAAGGATTGATTATATTCCCTAAAGTGTCAAAGTGTTTTTTGTTTAAAAAAAAGAGAAATTGTATAGTTGAAATTTATGCAGGACTTTTTACTCCCGCACATAGATCGCCCTAATAACTTATAAAACCACAAGCTTAAACTTTTGGTAGAATTGGTTCCTTGACATGATATCAGAGCTTTGTTGGCTAAGAGGTCATGGGTTCGAAACTCAGTGGCACACAGTTTAAAGAATTTAAGGTTTCACGTGCAAGGCTTGAAAAGATTACGTCTACACATGCAAGGATTGATTCCCACAAGTATTTTTGTTTACAAAAGAAGAGAAATTATATGGTTGAAATTTATGCAAAACTTTCTACTCCGGCACATAGATCGCCCTAATAACTTATAAAATTTCACAATGATCTAACAGTGTTTCATCATAAACCTTTCGATCTACACATACTCTCAAATGATTTAGAAAATTTTATTACGTTGAATTGGTTCCTTGATATTGTATCAGAGTTTTATTGGCTAAGAAGTCATTGGTTTGAAACTCAGCGTCACCTAGTTTAAAGAATTTAAGGTTTCACGTGCAAGGTTCGAAAAAACTATGCTACCGTGCGAAGAATATAAAAAATATTTCATGGGTCACAACGTAACTAGAAGCTTGAGCTTTTGATTGAATTAATTCTTTAACCATATTGAATGAGTTAAGAAACAATTGTGTTAGATATATGGTTGTATGCATAGCATTATATTGATGAATATATAATAATGAATATTTACCTGGTGAATTTGGAGTAGTGCTCCTGCGGCGATGCCAAGTATTCCTCCTACAATATTCATCAAAATATACAAAATACAGATGGCTATATCATCATCCGTCGTTGCTGCCATTAATTAATTACTAGCGCCAAGCTTTATTTGGCCGGACCAAATAATAATAATAATAATAATAATAATAATAATAATAATAATAATAATAATAATAATAATAATAATGATGATGATGCTGAAATTATTTTGTGTAAAACAAGTATCTATATAAATAGGAGAAGCAAATTAACTGTGGTGGTCTAATTTTGCTAAAGACTTTCCATTAGCCCCATATTTATGAACTTTCAAAGTCTTCCCTTTCTACCTCTTCATCATTCTATATTGCCTCCCATTCCTTTTTACTCTTTGAAAAAAATTGCTCTAATACTCCCAAAACAATACTCCATTCCTCAAATTCACTTGTGTCACTTCAATTTTGATATAATTGCACCTTGTTAAGAGTTAAGACGTTATCATTATGTCAATAGATAGGCATTTAGGTTATAAAATATTCGGGTTTCTGTCAGGTCGGGTTTGAGTCGGGTCGGGTCGGGTAAAATTATAAACCCACACCCGATCCGATGTCGGGTTCGAGTAAATGTTTTGGGTCTGGTTTGGATTATTTTGTTCTCGGTTCGGGTTCAGATATTTTCGTAGTTGATTTTTCACAGCAAAATTGAGAAACTATGTACAAAGTATTCAAAAAAAGACTAAACTAGAAATAAATTACTCCGTATGTATTAAATATTACATCCAATATTTGTATGAATCCCTTTAATTTATTTTGGAAATTAGATAATTTCACATTTTCAACGCATATGCTTACGTTACGGTATTGGTATGCTAAAAGATATGTTTACCTCTAGCCTTTTTTTAATTTCCAACGGACACATTCTTCTATGAACTTAAGGTTTATGCACATTTTTATAAATTTTAGTACATTTATAACATAAACGAAATAAGTTTAGCTTTTTTGTATAAAAAAATATCTACATGTAAGCCCATGAAAAATGTGAAAAATATCTATACTTTAAATGTGAATTTTAGGACGATGTAAACATCACTCTTTTCAATAATCTCTTCCCTCAACCCTTTTCAAAAAGGGGCTTATTTTTTTCCCAATAATCTCTTCCCGCTAGCCACCTTTTCAAAAAGAGGTTTAGACTTTAGAGAATGAATTTTAGATATAGGCCATAATTGGTTTTTGGCTTTTGAGATGACTTTTGACTATTTTGATTAATTTAATTTGGCTGTTTTTAACTTGTCAAACACCAAAAAAAGGTGTTTGTTTGAATCCGGATAATCAAAATTTGAAAACCTATAGGGACTAGCCTTTTATTTTGGCTGTTTGACAAGATAAATTTTTTTTATTATTTATCCTTACATGTAATTTTCTTGAATAAATAAAAATAATTATTTATTACATCATTAAATAACTAAATACTCCTTCCTCAAGTAAAATTCACAGATGGATTGAGGAGAAAAATAGTTTCTTAATTTTTTTACTTTAGAATTGATGTAGAAAAAAATCATGTATTTAAGAAATACATCAAAAGTCTTCAAAAATTACACACATTTCCCCTGAACATTAAAAATTGCACTAACGGTCCTTGAACTTTTAAAAATATTGCATCAATGATTCCTCTATGTCAAATTTGGGAGAACGTTAATCACACCCTAGACAAGTGCAAGTCTAAACTTATCAAAATTCAATATCACACGTGACTTCTACAATATGTTTCCCAAAGATTATTTTCAAGATGAATAATTATTTCTTTTAGGAATTGTATTTTTTTAAAAAAACCGTTGTAAGTTTTTTATTGTTGTGTGAAATCATGAATGCTTTTACTTTGTATTATATTTAAATTAATATTAGAATTTATATGTTTTCAAAAAAAATATCTACAAAACAAAAAACAAAAAAAAAGTTGGTCAAGCGATGTCAAGCATCCTGCCATAACATACATACAAGTGACAGGGGAGACAAGCCACATGGCACCTACATGGTGGTAGTCAAGCCCCCCATAAGACCATGCGTTATGGCGGGCTTGACGAAGTATAAAGAAATACTCCGTATAAGATATGAGATGATAAAAATATGTGTGTTGTGAGACTTGAAAAAGGGCATAACAAAAAAGTGATGAGGTAAAGTTGTGAATTATTTTGATTGATTTAGACAAAAAAGAAAAGAAAAAGAGGAAGCCCACCTTCACGGCGGGATGGCTATCACCCACAAAGGGGCAACGCCCCATCACAGCAGATGTGGCATGATGGAGCAGGCGTGAGGGGGCTTGAGGAAGGGACACGCCACTTCTGTCAAGCCCCATTACAAATGACCTAACACATAACCTAAGCATGTTAATTACACCTTGATTTAAAATGGAGCTTAGCGTACTAGAAACTCGAGTCTCGAAACTCAAAAGTGAGGTCTAATTAATACTCTTTCCATTCCAAAAAATACTTCCCTTTTTTACTTTTTTCGATCAAACAGTGATACACTTTGACTACAAATTGTGAAAAAAATATATTGAATAATATAAATTTTATATAATTGGATTCATCTTATGATATAATTTTGATATATAAAATTTTTATAACATTTCTTTATTTAGATTTTATTTAATTTATGATCAAAGAGTGTCATTATTTGACCAAAAAAAATCAAAATGAGAAATGTTTTCTAGGACAGAGAGAGTAAGTGAAATCTAAAGTACAACTGCAGTAATATTTTCAACTAAAATCTAAAATATAAAATATAAATTAAAAAACAGACCACTACACAAAATCAAAAACTTATTTTGGGGAGTGAATGAAGAAAAGAGATCATAACTTGTAGTGTAGATGAAAAATTCTAACTTGTAGTGTAAAGTGCAAACGACACTACAAGATAGAATTTTCAAGCGGAACAGAAGAATTAACTATATAGCTTATCTACACATCTTTACAAAGATCAAAAAACAAATTAAATAACAAAAATGTTCATAAACAAAATTCAAAATCACAAGATCAACAACATTAACCACTAGCTGTGTTGTGCGAAACCATGAAGATGACAGACAAAGGAATGTTCACCACATGACGATGGTTTCCAAACATCCTAATCCTCCCAAAACTTGGGTTGCTGTTGTTCATCTCCGCGTTAATGGAAACAGTCAAGTTCACACTCTCACCATGGTCAACGGAGAAGCGTGTCGGTGTCACATTGACTGTAGCCCCATACGGGTCGGTCCACCGAACAACATAAGACTCTTTGTCACCAACATTTGTCACTGTTCTTTGGACTACTCTCGATTGGTTGAGTTGCGCGATTGTGATGGAAGGCAAGTTTAGGTCTATGGCAGTCACATTGGTGGTGGAGGGGTCACAGCTTTCGCCGGTGTAGTTCAAGACCACCGGGGAAGATCCATTGATCCCACAGAGAAACGACATGTAGTCGTTGTAACCTGCAACCACAGATCCTTTAATAAGTGACTTTTTAGGTACAATGAAAAGGGAACGAATGTAGACAGCGTATGTCTACATTCATTTATTTTTCAATGTACCTAATAAGTCATAACAGACACTTAACATGGAATGGAGGGAGTATCTGATTCTCTCTCGTAAAGCTTCCATATATAAATAATGACTTACTTGAATCGAAAACAAGGCCCGGGTCCAAGGCAGCAGTGGCATTCACGAAACCACTCCCCATGTCAAAAGGTGTTGCAGGAGATTGGTTGGAGTCAGGATTGGCATAGGCGCGCTGGGCAAAGATGGGGCCCCCAGTCTTATCGTACACAGATGCCGTGGTGGAGAGTGCAGACCCTATAGCCGCAGGAGTGAAAAACGGGTACTTCTGCTTAATCAAGGCTGCTAAACCAGCCACATGTGGTGCAGCCATGCTTGTTCCAGACATCATTGCAAAGCTCTCACCTGATATGCATTTTCGCGCAAACAAACAACAATCAACTATTTGTCAGCCAATATTGAGTGAGATGTTAAAAAAAAACTATTTAAAAGAGAACAAGAAATTCAGTAAAATCCCACAAAAAATTAGTGTCTGGGAAGGGTGTGTGCACCAATAAACTCTGCAGAGTCAGTTCCACCAGAGCTCCAAGCTGCCCATATCGAATTTCCAGGAGCAACAATGTTTGGTTTCAAGATTTCGGCATCGCAGGGAGAATTGTCCTCTGGGTCTGGTCCTCGGGCAGAATAAAACATAACCTTTGGAGCAGATGGACTGAAATTTGGTTTAATGCCACCTAAAATGGACGCAACTGCCCCAAACTTGACGATTTTGTTGGTTACTTTGTCCCTCTCCAGAGACGAATTATAGTACTTGAGCAAAATCTGTTGTACCAGTTAAAATTCACAAATGTCATTAGGTTACCTCCATATCAGAAATAGTTGAATCGTTCCAAGAAATCACCCTAAATAGGAGTAAAACATAGAGAAAGTACCAAAATAGAAGCTCATGTTTTTATCCCCAAAATAGGAGTTTGCCCTGTGATAATGTGAAATTGTATATGGACATTTCACAATATTTTTTGGTATTATATATTGGCATCATTGGCATTGTACATGCATTTTAACTACTATTTTGGGAATAAAAACATGGAACTCGTATTTTGATATATTTTCTATGTTTTACTCCTACTTTAATCTTTTTCTCAATCATTTATGGGACACAGGGAGTATAAGTGTGTGTACTACCTTAGAGTCATTTGAAGACGGAATTATAATGCCGGGCAATCTCATTGGGACAGGATTAATTTGAAAACCTAAGACAAAAGGGTCAAGATAAAAGACAACACCAGATGCACTGAGGTTACTGGCAGTTTCCAAGGCCTGTTTGATTGTCGAAAGCCCAAGAACAAACCGAATAGAATAGCTACATATCAATATATTCCCCCGAACAAGAATCTGATTGAAATGACTGGAATCTTGGCATTCACTCATATACATATCATCTGGAGCAGTCGTATCATTCAAAGCATCCACTGCAGACACCAGTGTGTACATTGCATCTGGACTTGTT